TATAGTAACACTTCGTAGCTAAGAACTGAACAGCAAAACAAGTTGTGGTGAATAAACGTAAAGGAGTATTACTGCGCTGTAACAAATGATGAATGTGAAGACGTCAGAGGAGCAAAGAAAGACACGAACTGATAAAAAGTGGCAGGAACCAGAACACAATAACAACAACATAAATTGAAGGGAAAAAATTAAAACTGAACTCTGGGTAATTATAATGATTAAGCCTGACCTCAAAGAAGAGCTATAGAACACACTTCTCTCCCTTGGCAGAGGGGAAGAACTCTGGGTGTAGAACACTGCATGGGTCTAAAATTGGGAGAGATTCCAGAGGCCCTCCAGCCAACCCCTTCATTTGACAGACAAGGAAACAGAGTCCTCTGGAGGTGACATGACTTGCCCAAAGTCATACTGGAAGTATCAGGCATAGATGTGAACCCAGGTCCTCTGCTCTCTCTCCTACATGGAGAGCGCCTGCCACGGCTGAAGCATTAATTTTACTGAATTGTTTTTGAATTTGTTTTTTATTCACTGTTATAAAGAGTGGTGGGGGAGGGATATACTGGGAAATGGGAGAGAAACAGAGACTGACCTGTGATTTCTTTGGTACTGGGAATTCCCTCTACCAATGCAGGTGAACACCTTCTCTGTAGTTTACAATTTTAAGAGTTGCCTAGAGCAGAGATGTTAGGTGTCCTGCCAAAGGTCACATAACCAGGACATGTCAGAGGTGGGTCTTGAACCTGGGTCTTTCTGGTTTTGAGGCCAGCTTTCTGCCAAATACAAACTGCCTGAAGGGGATGGAAGAACAAAAGATAGCAATAATTTTTAGAAACACTGACTCCACAAACATTAAGCACCGAGTTTGTGCAAGGCACTGTGCAAAACGTGATGAAGGCTCAGCTTCCTATCCTAATCTCAAGGTCAAAATTCTTGCCTCAGTTTCCCATAACATTGTGTCAGATTTTTCCTTCCACTTATCTTGTATCACAGCTACTGGTGACCCCACCAACCCTATGTGTAAGACTACGAGCTCTGTTTTCTTCACCATTTCCATGCATATGGTGTTGTGAACTGAAGCTGAGGGGTTAACTGGCTAAAATCATGAAAAATGCTTTGACTAGAGGGTGATATAATTAGTTTAGAAGAAAATTAAATTACCTTTGGATGAGTTTCTCTCTAAAATGGGGTGTCAATAAAATTATTTTAAAAGAATGGAGGGAAGGTTGAAAAAAAAGTCTGGCTCTACAGAACTGCACTCTTCGTCTATAGAAATAACTCCAAGTTTTATCTTTGGCCGACTGTTAATCAGCACTCCAGATCACCTACAACTGGAGCCCATATTTCGGCAGTTTTCTCTAGTAAGCAACACATAAGTATCTAATAATAATCTATTAGAATTCCAAAGCAGCTCCATATAGGTAATGTTTTTCCCCTCAGGTTTCCCTCTGACTTCACAGAGCACTTTACTCATTCGATAAACATTTATTAAGTACATACTATGTGCCAGGCACTGTACTAAGCACTAGGGACACAAAAAGAGGCAAAAGACAGTCCCTGCCCTCAAGAAGCTCACAGTCTAACAGAGGAGACAACATGCAAAACAAACACATGTTGTTGCTGTTGGGTCATTTTTTTTTCAGTCATGTCTGACTTTTCATGACCCAATTTGGGATTTACTTGGCCGAGATACTGGAGCAGTTTGCCATTTTCTTCTCCAGCTTATTTTACAGATGAAGAAACTGAGGCAAAGAGGGTAAAGTGACTTGCCCAGGAACACACAGTTAGTAACTGTTTAAAGTCAGATTTGAACTCACAAAGATGAGCCTCCCTGAGGCTCTGGAATTAGACATTGGACAAAGGCACTGGAATTAAGAGGGGTTGGGAAAGGCTTCCTGTAGAAGATGGGATTTTAGTTGGGACTTAAAGGGAGCCAGAGAGAGTAGTCAGAGCAGAGGAGGAAGAGTGTTCCAGGCATGGGGGACAGCCAGAGAGAACACCCAGAGCTGAGAGATAGAGCAGCTTGTCTGAGCAACAGCCAGGACACCAGTGTCACTGAATGGAAGAGTGAATGGCAAGGAGGAAGGTGTAAGAAGACTGGAAAGGCAGGAGGGGTTACATCTAACAATATTTACCATGTTAAAAATTAAAACATGCTAAGTACTGTTAGGAATATAGTTTTGACCTCGAGAACCCCCGAAAAGGCCTTAGGACCCCCAGGAATCATCAGACCACTCTCTGGGAGCCACCAGACTAGAATGGTGGCTAGGACCCCTTCCAGCGCTAGTTCTATGGCTCCGTGAACAATGACTTAAAAGTCCTGGAGATGCGTTCAGCCAGCTCCACCTTCACCCATCTTCCCTTCTCTTTGGAGTCATCCATTTTGTCCTTGTTCTCCTGCTGCCAGCACGCTCTCTCCCAGCTTTTCTCCCTGTGGTTCTAGACCTCTTCCTCAGCCCCTCCCTGCTTTACAAGGCAACAATTAATAAACTCAATGAATCAATGAGCCAATGAGAGAAGATTCCCTTTGAATATTCCATCCAGGTCCAAGGCCACACACATGCATTACAATAAGGGTCTTCTGTAGATGATAAATAATTATTTGGCATTTTTATGGTGTTGCTTTATGGAAATTGATAAGATGTACAAACCTGTTCAAACGCAGTATCAGTAGACAAGTAATTATTAAGTGCTGACTGTGTCAGGCATAGTACAAATCTGTAGAGTGTAAAAATGTTAAATCTCTGGTATGAACAAAAAAAGTCTAGGTACTTATGGCTACAGTTCATGCAATACCACAACCTCAGAAGAATCAACATTATAAGTAGGCCAAAGGACAAGGGAAAGCCACACAGTGATAACCTTTGGCAAATCCTTTTACCCCTCTAGCCGATTGCCACATCTGTGGAAATGAGAGGGTGGGTGACCTCCACCAACCCCTTCAGCTCTGAACTATATGGGTATGAAAGGCAATACTAAGAATGAGAAACTGGTTGGTAGACAGTCAGAGGTTTATCCTGGTAACCCCCCAAAATACTAAAAGGACCAGAATAAAGCATCCAATCATGGTGGTGAAATCCTCTCTTGAAAGGGTTATGGAAAGAAAGACACAGGAGGAAAGGCCTGGAGAGGCCATGAAGCACATGGCTGAGGGAGAAGACTCAAGAAAAAAATCATGGGAAGAATGCAAATAGGTACATAAAAACAATAATGGGACTCTTTAAAAAGTGATATTTTAATGGTACCACAAAAAATGACTCAGCTCCCTTTAAAGACAAACAGGAAAAAAAGGTTGTCATCCCTGCTTAAGACTTCGAGAGCTGGATGGGCCCTTCAGATGAGGCATGGCAGGGCTAGAAGGGACTTTAAAGAATGTGACACATTTTGAGAGCAGGGGGAAAAAAAACCACCTTTCTTAAAACCTTTCTTTGTATCCCCAGGGCTTAGCATTATGCCTGGCACATATCAGATACTTAATAAATGTTTACTGACTAACTGACCATCTCCTTCATCTTACAAAGGAGGAAACTGAGGTCCAGGCAGGCAGGAATAGCAGAAAGAGCCCTAGACATAAGGGAAGTCAGGAGTCACCATAATTTGAATTCTCACAGCTGGCGCCTCAAGATAGGTGACCCTGGGCACTTCCCTCCAAGTCTTAAGTTTCCTCATCCTTAAAACAAGAGACAATTCCAGCCCTATTACCTACCTTACAGTGGAGGGAGATGATGGATGTAAAGCTTTTTGTAAACTTTAGAGCTGTACTATGTAAGTAATAATAGCTAGCATGTTTACAGGCTTTCCTCTTTGGCAAAGAGTTTACCTAGGATCTCATTTGAAGCTCATAACCTCCCACCTCCCCAGGTAGGCTCTACATGAATTAGCCTGTGTTACAGATGAGGAAACAGAGCCCCCTCCAGGTGAGGTGATTCAGATACCTCTTCCAGTGCCAAATCTATGATGCCAGGGTAGGAAGCTAGATGGAATTTGGCCCTCCGCCCCATCCATGAGTTCCTCCTAGCAGCTCCGTTTTGAGGAGGGGTCATCCCTCATTCCCAGGCTTTGTCCACCTGGGCTGGAGTCCCATTAAAAAGTAAACTCCGTGTGACCTGCTAGTCCCACCCCAGGCACACGCTTGTTGGCTGACCCTAGGCTTCCCCAGCCCCAGCCCCAGGGGTCCACTAAGGGTCCCAACCACCAGCCTTCCAAGCGCTTCGGCGTTGACAAAGCGCTTTCCACGCCACCCCCTCCGTTATCCCGACCCCCACCGGGGTGACCTGGAGCCCCGAGAGGTCCAGGCACTGGGCTCTTTCAGCCCAGCTGGTCAGCGTCTGCGGACTCTTTCCGCTTCCCAGACCGGCCCTCCTCCCTTCCCTGCTCTCCACCACGCCGGCTCCCACCCCCCACGTCTCAGGATCTCTGCAAAGAGCCCCGGGATTGGGAGTCGAAGGGCCTGGGTGCGAATTCTGGATCGGGCACGTGTTTATCTCATCTGAACCCAAATGTCTTGTTCAGTTCGTAAAACGAAGGCGTGAGGCTGAATGCGCTCTCAGGTCCATGTTCCATTGCCTGGGATCTCCGAGAACCTCATGGGGAACTGTCTACCTCAGTTTCCTCAACTGTAAAATAAGGGTTGATATAGGACGTGCCTTCGGGGTTGTTGTGGGGATCAAATGAGATAGTACTGGTAAGGCGCTAAATAAATGCTTGTCCCTCCCCCTGTCGGGGGGGGCACAGAGAGATCAGGGCGCTGGCCCGGGTGGCACAGCGGGAGTCCGAGGCCGGGCTTCCCAAGGTGCCGTTGGGGTACTTCGGTCGGGGCATAAGAAAGGGTCGGGCCCCGGGCCTGGGGGTGGGTGTCCAGCTTGGAGGTCCAGGCCCAGGTTCGGGCCGCCCGCCGGCGAGGCCTCCCGAGGCCCAGCCCCAAGGCCCGCCTCCGCTTTGGGGCCCTAGCCCTCCCGGGTGGTCACGGCGGCCGAGCCCCAGCCCCGCATCACTATGGTTACCTGCTCGGCGCCGCCGATTCAAACTGTCTGTTCTTTATTGACAGCGGTTTGGAGGACACGCGAACACTCGGGCTCCAGGAGGTGATGGTGACGGTGGCGGCGGCGCGGGGAACAATAAAGCTTTCTCCATTCAACAGCGCCGCAGCCGCCAGAGCGACGCCATCTTGAGGCTCGCGAGGGGAGGCGAGGCAAGGAGGGGGAGGCGGGGGCCGCGCGGAGTCCGCGATTTCCACCGTCACGTGCCAGGGGCGCTCGCGGACGCGGCGAGGAACGGTGGGAGAGGGCTGGGTCGAGTGAAGGATGGCGGGGCTTTGACGCACTTTTAAAGGTCCCCAGCCCCACCCCCTAAGGGCTTCGTGCCCTGTTATAGAAAGAACCCGGCGGGGGTGGTGTTGGTGCGGGGGGGTGGACCGGGCAGGGAGGGGGTGGAGACAAATGGCTGTTTAACTTAAACGTTTTTTCCGAGCCTACGGGACACTCAGAATCGTAAAGGGTCAGCCGGAGTCTGTAAGCAATAGAACGCTCCATTGGTGGAGTGGCTCAGCCTTCTGTCTTACATGATTGGCTGAACGATTGATTTGTATCCAATCACTGCTGAGCACAGACATTCTGATCCCCGCCCTCAGGTTCCCTGGCTTTTTGGGCCAAAACAAGCAGTCAAGCGCGCGGATCTTCTAATGGGACCAAGGTGCGCATCATTGCGCACGCGCACTCTCTCTGGTGGACCCTAGGACTGCCAGCCTTCCTGCTGCGTGTCTCATCTAGTCCTGCCATCTGTCAGTCAGTCAGTCAGTCATTGACATGCGAATCCAGTTACTGTAGGGCTTGAGCTCCTGCTGTATGCATGCACGTCCCTGTCAGCCCGTCCCGTCAGTTGTCACCCATTCAGTCCCTGTGACATATGTCCTGCACGGTACTTGATGAGCTCCTGCTGTGTGCACAGCTGTTCCCGTCACCCCATTCCCAAAACCTGTCACTTGTCACCTGACTTATTCAGTACAGTATGTTAGCTACACTATTAATACACGTTGTATGTACAGCTGTCCCCGTCAGTCACCCCATTACTGCCACTTGTCATTTATTATGTGTCAGTTACACAAATCCAGCACAGTGTTATCGAACTCCTACTGCGTGCACAGCTATCCCTGCCACCCCTTTCCTATCGCCTGGCACTTGTCACTTGCTCAGTTACTGTGACATAAACATAGTACAATGTTTAGGAAAGAGGAAGGAAAGGGAATAGCATTTATATAAGTGATTACTGTGTTCCAGGCACTGTGATATGCTTTTACAAATATCTCATTTGACCTTCACAATAACTTTGGGAGGTAGATGCTATTATTATCTTTATTTTACAATTGAAGAAACTGAGGCAAACAGAGGTTAAGTGACTTGCCCAGCCTCACAGAGCTAAAAGGTGTCTGAGGCTAGTTTTGAACTCAGGTCTTCCTGACTTCAGCGCTTAGGGAGCTTCTGCTAAGTGTAATACTGTTTCCTTCACCCATTCAGTCATACCTAAATCTAGCACAGTATTTAGTGAGCTGCTGTGGACAGCAGTCTCTGTCACCACATCCCTATGAGCTGTCTCTGTCATACATTCATCAAAGCATTTCATGGCCTTCTCCAGTGTGTGACTGTCTCTCTCTCTATCCTAATACACACTTACCATTCAGTTGCAGTCACACATTCAGGACAATATTTTCTGAACTCCTCCACAACTGTCCCATTGTCACTGATCATACATTCAGCCACTGTCACAGAAAAACAGTACAGTATGGATCTAACTCCTGCTGTGTTCATGGCTGTCCCATCCTATCCAAGTGACCCGTCAGCTTGCTCAGTCACAAACAAATAAACACAGTTCATTATTTACTAAGTTTCCAGTAGGTGTGTGGTTGTATCATCCACAGTTAACAGAATTTACTGATCTCCTATTGTGTGTTTGCCCATCCTACTCTGTCCTGATCACCTTTCACCTGCTCCATAACTATTACATACCACCATTTTTCTTCCTCACAGAAATTCAGTGAAGTATTACCCTAGTTTCTAATGTACTATGGGCTGTCACACTCCATGCTAGTCACTACTCACTCAGTCACTGTCACCGCAATCTCTTACATTGGCACACAAACTCATTACAGTATTGTTTGTGCTCCTATTGTGTGGACAGTTACTTGTCTACTTGTGGAAGAGTAGGGGAGGTGGAGAGGAAAGCACTTTGGCCTCCCCTTGGTCTTCTTGTCCACTCCTTACCCAACCTCAGTCTCCACTTTGGCCAGGGGAGGGCCCTGTGAGTTTTGAAGAGTCAAGTAAATGTTGGACTTCCCATCTTCCCATCTGTGTTCTACTAGATCAGCTGATGGTAGTGTTTGTATTGGGAGTCATGGACACATTGGACATAGGTTCATGGGAGCCCAGGAAAGAAAGTACTCCATGTCTAAGGAGAACTTTCTAAGAAGAAAAGGACTTCCAGTAACCAGGAGTTGTGAGTTCCTATTTCCCCCACGTGTTCTCTAAGCTAGAGCCCACTTTCTCCTGGACTCTGTATGTACTTGTGGGAGAGTATCATAGACCATCGGAGGAGAGAAGGGGATATTTTGCACCAAATAGTCTTACTGTATCACCTTCTTAAATATCCCTTTTAAAGGTGCTGAAGGCTGGCTGACAAATCGACAATCAACTGATAAATCTTGGAAGAAAGCACACCAACGGAGTTTGAGCCAATGGCATTAGAGAATCACCTCTGACTCCTCAGAGATACCCCTAGATGGGAAAGGTAATCTTTCTTTGGGACCCAAGACTCGTCTATGAGAGCGAGAGTTGGGATAAGGACCCTTAGAACTATGTGCCCTTCATATAAAATGAAGGGGCTTGGCTAGACGGACTCCAGGGCCAGAAGGGCCCTGGATCTATGATTTTATGATCTTACAAATATGTTTGTTATAGACTTTCAAACAGTGGCTTGTATGAGACCAAGGGTCATCACTAACTTAGAGAATCAGGAAGGGCTTCTTGGGGTAACATTGAAGTTGAGCTTCGAAGAAAGAGTTTGAAATTCATTGGGTAGATGGGGAGAGGATCAACATTGAAAGCATAGGTGTGGGCGGGAGAACTCAGTGTAAAGCACACGTGTAATTCTCGAGATCATGAAAGGCACCCCTATCTAGGCTCCTGTCATATGAAGATAAAGGTGGCAGGCGAGAGTGGGCATCAAGGTAGCTGAAACTGTGTAAATGAGGATGGGTGTATGTGGCGGGGGAGGCCAACGGGACAACGGAAGTCACTGATCTGTGTCTAAATTCTAATAGTTGGTTATAGTAACTGATGTGATTTGGGTTCAAATACAAGACTAATTGGCAACTGACTTGTTAATTGTGGGAATTGAGTGAGCCACGCTGACTCCGTCTTGTGACTCAATTCTGGATCCAGCTCACTTCCTTTTTATTCAATTGTGGGTCTAGTCCAATTTCTATCTTGTGAGAAAACTTTATTCAATTATGAGAATTGTGAGAAAACTTTATTGCATTATTTGAACCTAGCCTTGCATGCTGGACCACCCATACCTGTTGCTTAGAGACCATTAACTAAGGACCTAGGTTGTGCTGACCAGAAACCCAGTCAGATCCAAAGATTTATTTATACTAGGCATTTTCTCACAATTATTCATCTCAAACAACCCAGATGTCTTATCTGAAAGCTGGCGCCGTACTGGTCAATCAGTTACTGTTATTTTGTTTCTTTGATTGAATACAGTCACTTGCGGGGGCGGGGGGGGGAGAGTGGGACACCTTTTTTTTTTTCTTTTCTCCTGATTTCAGGGAATTGCACCTGTTCCCTCTCCCCCTTCGTACTCGGAAAGCCCCTAATTTTTCCTCCAATTACAAATCAGGTGACCTAATCTTGTATCCTGGTTTACATCCTGTTAATTGTTTTCTTTTAATGCACAAAGATTTGTCTCTCCCTGTATTTGGGGTCTAGTGCCAAGCTGAAGAGGCCAGGTCCCAATTTGTCATGCAATTGGCATGCATTGTTTAAAAAATCAATATTCTTGGAACCTTGGGCCTTTGTTTCCTCAGTTGTTTCAGATTTCGCCCGTCACAGTTAGGACTTTAGTCAAATTCACTCGATGACTCTGTTCTCCGTTTCTTCATCTGTAAAAAGGGAAAGAATAATATCAATCCTAAAGCTGTGAGGATCGAGCTAGAAAATGAACACGGATTGTTTTGTAAATTTTAAAGCGCTCCATATATACCAGCTATTTTGTAAGCAAGGGTAGTGATATTTCCCGCTGACCTCACGTAACGCTTTGTTCCTCTTTTTGGGCTTTGGACATTTGTGTAGGATCATATGGCTAATGCTAGAAGGGATTCCAGCAGCGAGCAAGTCCAATTGCCTCATTTTACAGATGAAGAAATTGAGGCCCATGGGAGTTAAGCAACTCATCCAAAGGTACAGGTCATCAGTGTCAGATTGACACAGTATTTGAACCCAGGTCTTCCAACTCCAGATCTCTTTCCACTGTGCTATACTGCCTCCATATGATACTGTGTATCTCAGCCACCTGTGTGTGTTATCTTATTCTCTGTTAAAATGTAAACTCAGTGAGATGTCTGGTGTCTTATCTAAACCCCCAGAGCACATTATTCTGTACCCAGTGGGCATCTAATAAATGTTTGTTGAACTTGAATATGATAGTATAAGTGGGACAGTGAAAGTGGCTGAATGGGTGATTTCTGTTTATACCATAGAAGCTCCAAAAATGCAGAATTCAAATTGTGGACTGGACAGAGCGCCTGTGTGTCACAAGCAAGTGGAAATGATTGGGATGGCTATGCACTGAGTAGGTTCTTGGCAAATATACTGATGGAAGTTGGGTAACACTGTGAGCCTGGCAGTACCCTGAAAATGACTGGGGGTGAGGAAGGTTGACCTGGCACAGTCATGCACCCAGCAGTCACTGGATAAATACTGAATCTGTGTGGCAATGGAAAGTAGCAGTGTGGACAGTGACAGCTGAGCCTGCACACAGTAGGAACTCCATCAATCCTGACCACCATTTTCTGGGAGGGTAAAAATGATTGTTTGGGACAGATCACAGAAGCACGGAATCCCTGAGCTGAAAGCGGCCTCAGTAGTGATCTAG